ATGTTGTTGAGGAGGAAAGTACCAGTGACCACCGCGGGATCCTTCACTGCTTCTTCTTGTCCTATTGCTAGGACTCTTCCTGTTCCCCCTGTGTTCCGGTTGTTGGCCTTTGGGCAGTTTCTTTTGTAGTGGCCGATTTCTCCACATCCATAACATGCTTGACTTACACCAGCATTGTTAGGTTGTTTGTCTGTTGTGTTGGCGTCCTGCAATATCGGGCGGTGTACCCCTTCCTTTTGCAGTTGGTGCAGTGCATCTCCCGACATGCACCGTTGTGGTGAAAGTTGCATTTATCACACTTCGGGAGAATTCTCGCATATGGCTTGTTAGGTGCTGGTGTGGCAGGAGCAGTAGCGGCATGAAATGTCACGATCTGTTGTTTCTTTGCATACTCCTGAGTTTGTTGCCCTTTCATCTTGTTTCCCAAGTTTTTCTTGTTATCATCCCCCTTCTTCGGTTCAGTGACGGAAATCATCATGCCTTTTTGTACCCCTATAGTATTTTATTTCTTTTAGTTTTGTTCTTAGACCCTTTTGGTTTAAAGTTGGTAAGTTTTAGATTCGTTGTCCTCATCGACCACTCCTAAACACATGTTGGTCATATCTCGAATAAATATAGTTGATCAGGCTATATTTACCCTAGATATGATTACATAACTGTCTAAGTTTAGTCGCGATGTCCAACTCCTCTAAATACTTTTTATTAGTTTCTTTGTTATGACACTATCCTTATTATGCACACATTTATGTATACTTTTTTATAAAATACTTATATTTTTAAAGTATACTTTTAGTCAGAGTGTTTTAGTCCCATTGTATTTATAGTTGTATATCTTGTATGGTTAGATATACTAGTTCACTATAAACAATGCTCTGATACCAATTTGTCACACCCCCGAACCAGGACAGCGGAAACGTCCGGGGGCGGATGACGTCATTGTATAGTATCATAACAGTTGAATATAAATGGACATAGCAACCCACACAACATAGATTAAGAAATACAAACTTACATTGTTACATAGTGTACTTGTTCAAAGTTTACACAACATTAACTGAATAGTAACAATTTTAAAGTGCAACAAAAATCCAGTTCCCGATGGCTTAGGTACCTGCTTACTGGTTCCCAGAGAATACAAGTCATTTTGAAAATCGTCAACAATGAATGTTGGTGAGTTCATAAGCATTTTTGTATGAAAATCAGTTTGTATCTGTTTTATTTGAAAAGTATTTATGTTTCCAGAAAATCCGATATTTTCTATAATAGTGAATTGTATGTCTTATACCAAAGACAAAAAAATGTATGTATGCATGTTTCTTTGAATATTCCCAGAAAATCCAATATTTTCTGATGTATGAAAATCTGTAGTCTTAAACCCTAAGACCGGAGTTGTGATAATAGTATACTGAAATAAGCATGTAGTTTTAATATTTATAAAACCAGTGGAGTGTAAGCTTCCCGTAAACCAAGATAGTATTGTTAATCCTTATGTGAGTCATTATAACCATGCTTGCTATGACTGTATGCATGTTGCGATTTTCTTCAGGTGTCGGAAATAGGTAAGATAATTGTCACCCTAGACTGGCCCCGTCTAGCTGTAGCGAACAGCTCAGGTGTGGGGGTGTCAATCCCCGTATAGATCTATACACAACTACCTCGCTCTCCCTCCAGGAGACTCTCGTTATAATTACAGGACTTAGAATGTACGCTAGGTAGGTACAGTGAAGATAGAGTGTCTCACTAGAGCATTAACATATTTACGCGAACTACGACTCCCTTTTATTGTATAATGAAATGATATCACTATTGAAAACCCGTTACACGAGTTTTATGACACGCATTTTACGAGTTTCATGACATGTTTTATGACATGTGTTTTATGACATGCAAACTATTCTGTCAACAGCTTGTTTTGTAAACTTTCGTGTTATCTATTTATAAAACTTTATATAAATAGCCCACAGCAATTATGTCTAGTAATAACATGTGTTGCAAAAATATAATATAATATTCTTGAGTTTTAAACCATCAAAAATAGTGACGACGTAATTACGACTATTTTTACTAAAAAGTTTATTTTTAGCAAAATATCAACTTTGTAGTTTTGCTTAACATCCTTTTTACCGGTTTTTGTAGGTTTTGTAGCACAAAATATTTTGTTTTGGTTCGACTTTAATAAGTCACGATTTTTATAACACCACAAATGATAATCTTAATATTTTTATTCAAATATTTGTGTAGGTTTCAAAAGGAGGACATGCATGTGTCCATGAGTTAAACATACTTGGACATATACATGCCATGTTTTCGACATATTTGGGTGAACAAAACATGACCACAATTTTTTTATGTAACAAAAATGTTAACAAACACATACATCACGATTTTTATGTAGTTAACATATGATAATAACCTTTTTATACAAGAATATGTTCCATGTTCATCATATAATCATAGTGCATGAAATTGTCCAATGGGCAAACGCATTTTAACTTATGACAAGTTTATAAAACATGATTTTTATGTATGTAAGCATGAAATTTTCTATATTAAGTGCACAAATCATTCCATAAGCAAGTTGGTGCATGTAAATATCCAATGAGTAAATGAAACTCGACTTGTATTCCCCCCCCCCCCCCCGAAAAACATGAAAAATATGGGGGCATGAAGGTCACCTTGGTATTTCGTGATTTGTAGGGAGGAAATGAGGGAGATGTCGAGCCTAGACTTGTGCACACTTGAAGGGCTTCTCGAAAATCAAGTGTTTCCAAAGAACTACACACGAAAAATGTGTGTGTAAACATGGAGTTCTTAACTTAAAGATGTATAGAACACTAAAGTTTTACAAGAAACTTACCAAAATCTTATGAGCTTCTTGAAGAAAAACCACTCTTGAAGATGGCACATGAAAATTTGAGAGGAAAGATGAGAGTGTTTGGAGAGTAAAATGAGTGGAAGAAATTTGTGTGTGTGGGGGGGGGGGGGTGTTCGGCCGATATTAAGGAAGAGAGAGGGAAAAAAAGTTGATGCCTTGTTGTATGGTGGTTCTTTGAGTGTCTAGCATGGGAGTATGATGTACAAATGCATGCATGGTGTTGATATTTGATGGATAATAAGAGGTAAAGCATTGAGGTGTCACCACCTTTTTACCATTTCTTTTCTCTCTTTTTTTTTTGTCTAGCCCCAGCCGAAATCTTTAATTCAAAGGAGGGTTTTCGGTTTTAGGGTGGCCGAAAACACCCTATATCCTTAAAGGGTTTGTGGTTTTGATGAGTGTATGGGCTTTTGGGCTTAATTTGGCCCAATAGAAGGGTTTTCCGTCCAATAAGGCCCAAAGAAAAGGGTTTTCAGCCTAGGGTTAATTTGGGCCGAGAGTTCTAAGCACAAGCCCAACATTCGTTTTTGTTTAGCTATTGGATCAAATTTGAGCTTACATGAGGTTATTACTACTTGATTCTTAGTGTATGTACATATGTATTCACTTAACATTCTTGTTTTGACTTTCAATAGTTTGATGCAATAAGATTACATAGAGGAATTGTTTGTACATGAATCACAATCTCAACCCTAAATTTGCCTGTGACAGGTTGCGTCTCGGCAACTGTTTCTTGCGTGAGTGGTGGTTGTGTGGTAGTTTGTTGCATGGAAGCAAAGGTGTTGAAAAGGTTTTGTGGAAGGCTTGTAGGGAATTTTGGTGGGGGTGTTGTGGGATTGAAAAATTTGTCGGAAAATGGTATTTGTGGTGAGTTTTGAGAGTTGAGGAGGCTTGCATGGCTCTCATATGGCGCGAAACCAAGTGGAACAGATGTGTTTGTGTTTGGAGGAGGAGTGTTGGGGTTTTGATCTGTAATGAGTTATGTAGGATGTAAAAAATGAAGTGAGAATTAAAGATATTGTGTGTTAAAAATGAAGTGAATATGTATTTATAGGTGAGTATATATATATATATATATATATATATATATATATATATATATATATATATATATAAACTGTTCGACCGTTTTTGAACGGTCCATTTTTTTACCGTTGCCAATTTTTTCACCGTTGCCTCCCGTTACCATGGACACGGACACGCCAGCTACCGTGACATCAAAAAACGCCACCGGGGCGGTGTGCGAGCCGTTAAGACGGCGTTTTTGTGCTACCAAATCGGATTAACGTCTTATGGCGTTGCCCGTACCCAACGGCCTAAGCCCTAGTCAACCATCGCCAAGATGAGTATTTAAATTTCTAAAAAACATTATTCTAGAAGTCTCTAGTCTTCTTAATTATTTAAACGTAGTTGCGGTTTACATTGTACTCTAATTAGTTATATTGCTAAAACTAGATATTAAACAATGTTCAGTTACTAGATATTACAAAATTTTATTTTCATGGATTTCAACAAGTTCATGTGCTCCTTTAGCTTATTATATTGTTTTATTCAGCTTTTTTGTAAAAAAAATACATAAAAACCTAAAACCTAACTCTAAAAACCAAACAATACAAAGTTTTGGTAAGTTTTTCTGTTTCTTTTTCGGTTTTTATTTAAGACAAGAACCAAATCGAAACAAATTATGTTCACCTCTACATTTATTTTCGGAGTCCAACTCATCAAGAGAAATGAAAAGAAACAGATGGAACCAAGAAGAAAGGGAATAAAATGATGTTGGTGAGTTTTTATAATGGAAAGAATTTGAAAGAAAGAGAAATAAATAAGAGATAATCATACCTCCAAACTCTCCCTTTCAATGCATGAACATTATTTCCCTTTTATTTTCTTTTATTTTCTTTCAAACCCAAGAACACGAAAATAGAATTTTCTTTCCACTTTCGTTTCCTCTCTTTTTGTTTTTTCCTTCTTTTCTTTCACTTGGTAAAAATCAGAAACTAAGCGTGTCAATAAAACAAAGTAACTATCAAAACTAAAAACTCAAACGGAGACCCACTTGGACCAAATGCAACTGTTTTCATATTCATCAACAAAAATATAGAAATCTTAAATGGACAAACGAATAGACCTCACTAGTTAGCTATACATTCATCCAAATCATATTCAAGTCCCAAAACATTTCCTTTTTTTCAGAGAAAAAAAAAATAAACTAAAAAACCAATTCAAACCCTACCACCATAGTTCCACATCTAATGACCACAAATCTCATCAGAAAACGTATCAAGAAGCTGCTCAGCCAAACAAGGGGGATCATCAATCAACGCATCCACAAAAACATTCACAACTCTTCTTTGTTGCATTGTTGCTTTCAAACTAAACCAAGTAAGAAACTTCACTCTAAAATCTTTACTCAAAAACCCATCATCCTCCAAACTTTTAATCACTCCAACCGCATATTCATACTCGTTTTTCTTTGTGGGTCCCGCTTTTTTTGTACCATCAGATTTGCACGGAGTACAAGGGAAATCGGTTGTGGAATCGGTTTGTGTGTTGGTGGCATTGTATGTGGTCCATTTTGACTCCCAAAATCCAACGACTTTTGTGTTGCTAAAAAAGGAAACCATGCATGAATATTCGGTTGATGGGTCAAGATTTGTGATCTTGAATCTTTTTTCAGGGTTTAGAACAATGTATGTTGCTTCTTTTGGATATGTTTTCAGAGTTGACTTTTTGTGCCAGATTCTACACCCGAAGAAATCTTGAAATGAATTTGGTTCGTAGTCTAGGACAATTGTTGTTGAAGTAGGTGTTGATTCTTCAAATGAAATCCGACATGCTGTGAAGAAAAAAAGGATAATTATGGTTAAAAGATTGAAAATTTTACAAAAGAGCATGTAATCGTGCTCAATATGGATATATGAAATTTCATTTATTAGATAATTCCGAAAATTTTGGATATGAATATTGGATACTCGAAATTTCAAGTCACAAATCTACAAATCTACAAAATGTTAGTGTTTTATGCGATCTACATGTATATTTTTTCTATCGTAATAGCATATTGGGAATTAGAAGTCAACAGATTTGAACCTATTAATCACCAATAAAATAAGGTTAATCACTAAAATGACCATAGAGAGTGGAGTCCACTTACAATAATACTTATCACAAAATAACCAAAATGATGTGATTTTGCAGAAAAAAATTGAATTTTGGGAAGAAAAAGCGGTTTGCAATTTCAGTATCACGAGAAAGGCATTTTGCAATATCAATATCACGAGAAAAAGCATTTTGCAAGTCAATATCACGAAATTGATGTCTATTTATGATAAATGTTCAAAAGATGGTAATTTTGCGATAGAACCTCACTCTTTTTAGTCAATTATTTAATCCGAATATCAGAGTTATTACAAAATAATGACGAACAAATAAAAATATACAAGTTGAAGCCAAACATCATGAAAGCGTGAAAAGGTGTTTGATATAATTCGCAGTATATAATATCAAAAAACATTCAAGAAGTTTATTTATATCTAACAACACAAGTAATTATCGACGTCGATATATAAGATCCTTGATTAATTTTCATTTTGTAAATTAAAATTAATCAAGGAAGTTTTATATATATATATATATATATATATATATATATATATATATATATATATATATATATATATTCTCCTTTATAAGAAGTCGTAGTTTGGTTTTTAAACAAAAAAACCTAGCACACCCTGAAATTTCGTATTTTTAAACAAGAAAACGCAAGCCTCTTAATGAGATGAAATGACCCTTTTACCCTTGACAATATATTTAACAGATTGAAAACGTATACGTACTTGGGGTTGTGTTTGGTTGGAAGGTTGAATTTGAGCAGGAGGACAATGACGACATATCAAAAGCTTGAATTGCAGAAGCGCAAAGCTTCTGAACCTCAGTGCTACATGAGAGCCGATTAACCAGGCGACGATCCATCTTCACTGAGGCTAAACCGATGGGTCCCACTTCATTTTCTAGAATATTTGCTGCAGATTCAACGATCTTTAACAGCTTTTCATGTTTGTGGGTCCCTTCAAGAATCTTATGGCTTAGGGAAACTCTTAGACATAATGCGTCAACTCTTCTCGCTTCATTAGCAAAAACCAGCTGCTTTCTCCATGTCCTTTAAAGTGAAACCATTTCAAGATCAATTATATATATATATATTTTTTTTTAAAAAAAACATAAAACCAATTTTGGGGTTATAAGGTTATTATTATGGTGACGTGACACCAACACGTGTTTGTCATGCATTGGACTCGGACTGATGTCAATGGGACAAATGCAGCCCAAGGTTGCATTCATTATACTAGACGCTTTCTATGGATATTTTCCACAATGAAGATCAAAAGGGCATAAACGTCTTTTGTACGTCGAAGATGAGAAGGGTATGCACGTCTTTTGCACAAACAAGAGATCGAGAACGAGTCCCTGTCCCTGTCCCACATTTTTGGGTAGGAGTGGGACCAAAAATGTTTTTTTCTGCCTCACTGACATTAGTCACACTGAACACAGTACAATCTGTTTTGTCATGTCCTGCATACCAAACACACTACTTGTAATTTAAATTCTACATTAGCAAATAAGAGCATAATTATTAATTACCTCATTAATCCATTTATCTTCCCACAAGAAACACAATAAAAACCCCCATCCAACTTCGGGTAGTTACCACTTGTTATGCCCGCCCTGTCATGACCAACCGCACACTGCAAATGACACGACATGCCACACCGCTCATGATCGTCCCCTTCACTACCACAATCCGAATCCCAATCACATGTTAACCATAAACTCGGATCCTTATTATCATCAAACTGATAACAAATACAACAAGAACATCTCTTGCAAAAAGCATCTTCAGGCCACATAATCGCTTTGCATGCTAGATTTTGACAAACTCGTTGGTCTTTTCTAGTATTCTCAAACATGGTACTATTGGTACTAGGTAGTTGAAGCGGGGCTTGAGCCTCGTGTTTTTGCTTCTTAGATGGTGAAAAATCTAGGGAGGTTTCGGTTGTTGGCTTTTTGGTGTTTTTGCATACAAGTTTTAGAAGGTGTTGTATCATTCTAAGCTTTGTGAATCCGCTATATTTTCTTTCTTTGCCCATTTCGGCACATATGATTTCTAGAAGCTCTTTACGAGTCAATGAACTAAGAATCTTTGGGGCGTCTTCTGACCAATGAGCGATTCGGTGGACTAGTTTTCTTTTTTCTTCCAAACTTAGTTGATTACATTTTTCAGGGTCCAGCACAAATCCTGTCAAAATGGAAAATTTATATTTAAGAAAAGTAACAAAACGTTTGGTCTTTTACACCATTTTTTGGGTTTCTGCGTTTGTGTGCATTGGGTTGGGACTGAGACTGATGTCTATACGACAAAATTGCAAGTTTTTGTCATATCCAAAAAGGTGGGACAAAGAATCTCTTGTCTATGCAAAAAGACGCAAATGCCCACATTCTCTTCCAAAATAGACCAAAATAGGTTGTCTAGTCTTGTCCCATTTGAGCATACAGGACCCACTATAGACTGCATTTTTTCACATGGGACACAAAGGAATGGGGCCCAGACAAGCTAGGGACAATTTTTTATGATGGGATCGAGGAGGGCATTTACGTCTTTTGCACAAACCAAAGATTCAAAGTAAGTCCATTTCCCATTTTGTTCCACCTTTTCGGATGTGATAAAAAATAACAATTTTTGTCCGATTGACATTGGTTAGAGTCTGAATCTATTTCTTTTCACTTTAATCCGGACCCACTATCATGTCTTCATTTTCTAAAATATTTTAAAAAAAAAATTATCCACACTATACTTTATGTCTTTATCCATACATTTCTGAGAAAAAAAAAATAATACAGTAATAAATAAACTTATGTGTTTGGAAATATTCTAATTATTGAAGCGATGATCTCTATTAATCTTCTGTTCTATTACACATGAAATTTGGTAATTTACTATAACATACTTTTAGTACCCCCTTTGTTACAAAAAGAAATTAACTTTTTCATGCTAATAAACAATACTTTTCTACTTCACATCTTCTCGAATCCGAATCTTTTCATTAAAAAACTTGATAACCCCATTAAAGTTCACATCAAACTATACAAATTCAAACGTTTGATGATAAATTAGTAAAAAGAAGTCCACGCGAATTTTTTTTAAGAATCCAATGTTCAAAAATAAAAGATCTAGACGACTATTGAACAGAGGGGGAGTAGTTCATGTAGGAACCCTAGATGTGAACGTACAGTTTATACAATAACTCACAACCAGCAAAATACCAGAAGCCATCGAGAAAATACTAACTCAAAATTGCTGTTTTAAACCTACATTTTCAAGAATTAAACTCAAAAACTTGAAAATTAAATGGAAAAACAGCAAATACGCGAAGCAAAAAGCAAAGAATGAAGAATAAGAGGGCTTATATGTACATAAAAATAGAAAAAATCAACTCAAAATGCTATTTTTAACCTACATTTTCAGAAACTGAACACAAAAATCATGAAAATTAAGGGGAAACAGAAATATTCCTGGTAAGCAGCTAAGCATCAAAGAATGAAGAACAAACTCTTATTGCAATCATGCAAGGTAAATACGAGGCTAACTGCATACGAAACACAAAAAGAATAGAAGAAAAAAAACGGAAAAGTACTAACCTGAGAACACAGATTCCATTCCGGAAAACCCACTTTCAGGGTTTTTCATCATACATTCAAAAGAAATAATACTACCAGTTTATATCTTTTGTTTAAAAAACACAGAGAAAAAATGGGAAGAGAGAAAGGGGGCGTGGGATGGTGTGTATGCGTGAGAGAGAAAGAACAGGAGAGAGAAAGAGGGTGTGATGTTAATGCTACTAACTGCTAAAGGCTAAAAAGATACTCCTATCCATAAATAATTTAAGCAATTTTTGCGTATTCATTTGTTTCAAAAATTTTTAGCAATTTTAAATATTTAAATCTAATCAAATAAAAATTAAATTTTTGATAGTAATATAAAAAAAAAATTATATGTATATTTTATTTAGAACCAACAAAATATTAAATGAATCAAAACTAAGATGATTCATAAGAAATAAATTCAAAAAAAAAAACTTATATTTTTTTAGAACCAACAAATTGAATTATTAAATGAATCAAAACTAAGATGATTCATAAGAATAAAATTCATTAAAAAAAATTCCTAAAGAAAAACACCTTAATAATTTATTTTTTAGTAAATCAAATAAAAATCATTTTTATTATAATTTTAATGAATAATAACAAAATCATCACAAAAATGAATCATTGAGGTGTCTTTAAATAAGAGTAGCGAGAGAGATCGAACCCCAAAAGAAAGAGTAGCCTTAAAGAATAAGGCATGAACGAACTCCGATTGTCCGCGCCGGACCCCAATAAAATACAATAAGACCCCTAATACTACAAGGAGAAATAAAGAAAGTAGAGTAGTTCTTAGTTTTTTCGTGATTTTTTTGTAAATCATTTTATTTTAATTCATCTAATGATTCATATTTTTGGTTCGCCAAATATATATATATATATATATATATATATATATATATATATATATATATATATATATAACTTCATATTTTCTTACCAAAAATTTCCTTCTAACGGGATCGATATCATAAATATTTATTAGTGTTGATAACTTATAAAAAAATGGTTAACCATACCTTCGGCCAACATCAATTCGCTTTAAAGACCATATGAAAAGTCGTCTAGCAGAACATTAACAATATTTTGGTTGTTAGAATATGAATTCTAGGTCTTATGTGTGGATTTACACTCATTAACCGGTAGGCTCCCATCATAAGGCACTATTAATAATAACTTTTATACATATATACTTTTATCCATATACAACTTAACCGATGGGCTCCCATCATAAGGCAGGTAATAAACTTTTATCTATATACACATTTAGTAATTTATATATTTTTCTTGTATATAGATGATCATTAAACTTATTTAAACTAATAAAAAAACACAATTATCATTGGCTATTGTAGATTTAGCCAATCAATGTGAATTTTCAAGTGAACTGTAACATCTCCTATTTTCCAGTATCGGAAAAAAAAACTTTTCTTTACGCTTTCAAAACCATGTTATCTTTGTTTGCGGAAAATCTCGGTATATTAAACATTTTTAGTACAACTGTTGTTTCAAAATAACAAAACCCTAAGGATGTCACAATCAATACACAACATAAGTTACATCATAAAGACCAAACAGTCTTGAATACTATTGCACGGCATCCTAATCAAGTTCCAACAACTTTATTCATGCTACTTGTAATGTGTATAGTTTGAGAGGGTCATGTTTGGAAAAACCTGGTAAGACACATAAGGTTTTCAATCCCATAATATTTTAGTGATAATAAATCATATATATTAACTCTGCAAAAACCAGTTGTGAAAGATTGTGTATGCTCAAGAGTCATATTAATATTATATTGTTAATTAACATATGATCTTACGGGTCACACTAACAACAACTTGATACAATTAATTATTTATTAGAAATTGGTTTTAATAAATATTCAATAAACTCTTACAATTAATTGAAAATATTATTCCATGGAAATAATAGTTTTTACAATGACAAGTAACACATTATTTCATATGGTATGAATTAGTAAGTCATGCATAACATTTTGGACTAGATAAATCTTTTTGACTTTTACCAAAAAGTTAGAGTTTATATTTTATAAACTTGTTTATAAAATTTGAAACTCATCCTTTCTTTTTCAATTAAAATACGAGAATGGAGGAGGATAGGAGGGGCATGGCTCTTTTGTTTATTTAATAAAAAGATATGGGTATGGGTGCATGCATGGGGGGACAAACTTGTGTAAAAGGCTTAATGGTTAAAGACCTCTAGGTTAAGTTTCTACTTTAACTAGCTAAAAGGCTTTAAATTGGCTTCACTTATTCCTCTTGCAATTGCCAAAACTCCATCTTTCTCTTTCACTCTTCTCTTGCAAAAGCGTTAGAAGATTTCAAGTTATTTTTTTTCTCTTGAAGATATTACTTGGGTTCTATCTTTCAAGCTTAAGAGTTCTATCACCAAGACTAGCATCTTGAAGTCAAGTTAAGATCTTGTTGGTGTCTCAAAGGTTCGACATTATTCATCAACTATCAAGCCTCCCCTTGAAGGCCTAAAGAACAACAAAGGTTGTTATTTCTTCATCTCCTCTATGGTTTTATTTTTCAAATGCCCAAAAATACAACCAAATTGTTTCAATCAATCAGAGTATAAAATATTCTTAACATCAGTGTAAAAACCAAATGTCAATGTAGAATAAAATCAAGGGGATGTTGTGTGATCACGTCAAGCCCTTCCCTCTCGAACTAGAAGTACCTGAAAATGTTAAACCACAAAACCGTAAGCTCAAAGCTTAGTGAGTTCCCCAAAATACCACATACCATATAAATGGGCCCAATCCAACATATAAATAATGGCCCATCCCAACATACATAATAATGGGCCCAACCCATATACATAACAATGGGCCCAACCCAACATATAAATGGGCCCATCCCATAATAAACATGCAAGAGTCACAAAGACAACTAGCACAATCAAATAGGTCGGCATTGGTGCCTTCGACCCACAAGTATAGTGAGAAGACTCACCTCAAACTAAAGACAGACAAATCTCGCACCCGAGTTGTCGATACTGGAACTCCTCACACTAAACAAATACATAATAAAACCCTAATCCTAATTAAGATACTAATCCAAATTCAGGATCTTGGTTCATGGATGCCCTACTTTGGGGTAAAAGACCATTTTACCCGTCATGGCTAGAATCCACCCTACTTAACCCAAAACCCATATTGACCAAAAATCCAACTTCTGGAGTTACACCATTCATACCATGTTTTATGCCCAATGTAGAGCCTTCTGATGAAAAATAGGACATAATCAGGCTACGTCATGCATAGCCCAGATTACGCCCCATATAATATCAACATTTACCAACTTTTCACTAAGCACTTAATGCATAAAGACTAGCAATCCAACTCTCAAATATGGGCCTAATAAACATTCTATGTGACAAAGTCTCACACTTTATGCCTTTGCATGGCTTAAATGAGGCCAATACCAAGCCCTAAGTCCAAAACATTCACCAATGCTCAAAAGCTCTTGCATGGATGGATGGGAGTGACCAAGCTCCCATTTTTATGACCCAACAATCTCATAAATGACCATAAATCAAACTCAAGAGGTCTATAGTAGCTCATACTCATTAAGACCAAGGTTAAGGGACCAAAGCACGTAAAAATCCATAAAATAATTAGATCTATTAAGAGGACTCAACAAGATGAAAGCTTTATACCTCTTGGAGAATGTTAAAGAAGAGCAGAGTTTGGATCTACAAGCTATGGGCTCCCAAGTACTCCTTCAATGGCCTCCCTCTTCACAAAACACACAAAGAATCACTCAAAAGCTTCAAAATCTTCTCAAGGTGGCTAGGGTTTTGATGTTGGTGCAAATAAAGGTGGAGGTTGAGCATGAGAAGGGTTTCAAGGGATTAAGACCTTTAAATAGGGCTTACAGCCCTCAGTTAGGGTTTTTGGAGGTTGCACTCCTACGCCCTACGTACATATAGCTACACCCTGCATAGGGCATAAAGCCCCCGCATGGATTTAATGATTTACCCCCTGCATAGGAAGCTCTCCTATGCCCCGCGTAGGATGACCAAAATTTATAAAAGGCATTATTTTGAAATAAAAATTATACCTGAGGAAATAGGCTTTACAACTCTCCCCCACTTGAATCAAACTTCATCCTTGAAGTCCGTTGATGCAAATAGCTCCAGGTAATGCTCCCTCGTCTCCTCCTCAAGCTATACGTCCACTCTGAACCATCCTGATGTTGCCATTGCACCTTAACTAAGCCCACCATCTTGTTGTGCAAGGTCCTAGTCTTCCTATCAAGGATCGCAATCGGTCTTTCCACATAGTTCAAGCACTCATCCACATGAATATCATCTAAGGGAACCACTTCAGAATCATCAGGTAGAAATTTCCACAACTAAGAGACGTGGAATGTGTTATGCATCTAGTTGAGCTCGTCAGGCAGGTCCAACCGGCACATAACCTTGCCCACCCGGGCACTAATCTAGAAGGGACCAATATATCGGGGGCTCAGCTTGCCCCGCTTCCGAAACTTGATGACACCCTTCCAAGGTGACACCTTCAGAAGCACGGAATCTCCCACCTGAAACTCGAGGTTTGATTGTCGCTGACCAAAATAGCTCTTCTGGTGACTTTGTGCGGTCTGCAGTCGACCTTGCACCTACTGAATCAACTCAGTGGTCTTGAGTACTACCTCAGTACTCCTAATAACCCGATTCCCGACCTCGCCCTAACAAATTGGGGTCCAACATTTCCTCCCATACAGCATCTCGAAGGGAGGTGGATCGATACTAGCGTGATAACTGTTGTTATAGGAGAACTTGGCCAATGGAAGGTAAGTATCCCAACTCCTGCCAAAATCTAATACACATGCCCAAAGGATATCTTCAAGAGTCTGAATAGTCTGCTCGCTCTGCTCGTCGGTCTGAGGATGGTATGCAATGTTGAAATGTAGCTGAGTGCCCAACTATTCATGAAATTTCCTCCAGAACCTGGAGGTAAAACGAATATCTCGATCGAAAACCACTAAAACTGGAACCCCATGCCTAACCACTACCTCCAAATGTAGATATCGGCCAACTTCTCGACGGATATACTTTTTGCGATAGGAATGAAATAAGCACTCTTGGTCAATCAATAAACAATGACCCAAATGGAATCGACCCCACGTGCCGTCCTCAACAACTTTGTGATAAAATCCATGGTGATCTC